TGGCACTTATTGGTCACTTTCTCCAATTCATTGTTTAAATCCAGAAAGTGGAGCTGTTTAAAGCTGAGTGGTGTGCTTTGTTCGAACCATACTTGTTCTTTGAAAGCTACAAGAACTATCTTCAGGTTGACATAGTTGCTGCTGATGTTGATGACTTGCGTGCTTGGAAAGGCTGGGTTGAATCTCACCTGAGCCAACTGACTCTAATGGTACTAATGACTATATCTGTTTTTTCTGTCCTCTTTGAAAAACAGAAATGTATAGTCCTCTCATTTTGGTGCTTCCATTTACATTTTCAGATTGAAAGGGATACTTTAGGGATGTTGCAATGCCATCCTTATCCCCGTGAGTATGTCGATACGAACAAACAATGCGCACACAGTGCCTTTTTTATGGGTTTGCAGAAGAAGCAGGGGGAAAAGATTCAGGGTCAGCAGTTCGATATACGAGGAACTGTTGATGAGTTCAGGCTTTCTGTTAATATGTACATGTTTTGGAAACCGGGGATGGAAATTTATGTTTCTCATGTTCGTAGAAGGCTACTTCCTCCGTATGTGTTTCCAGACGGTTTTAGACCACCTCGACCGTCTAGACGTACAGCGCAACATCAGCCTGATAAGTTGTCTTGTGATGATGGAGAAGTTTGTGCATCTGGTTCTAGTGAGAGTAGCCTGAAGAAGAAGAAGGATGCTTATATGAATAGTTAGTAGTAATGGAAACTTCAGGAAGAACAAATTTCAGCCAGAGGAAGGATTTCTATTTTGGTGGAGCTTTGAGCTTAACAATTACTGTAGATTGATGTAAATCATACAATCTTTTGGTTTTAAAAAAACAAGAATTGTTGCATTTGTAAAGATTACAATCTTTATGGGGCAGCCATTACACAAAGTTTACAATCTTTTAATATAAACTTTATACTTTAAATAAAAAAAATCTCTTTTGGTGCAATCAAATTTGATACTTTTTTTGGGTGGAAGTGATTTCTATTAGATATTTTGCATTATCTTCCAAGTGATGGGATATAGGAGACCAACCATTTTCTCTTTCCTTCTTTTCTTTCTCTGTTCTCCTTTAGAGCACTTCCAGCAGTTGGAATCTTGCCATGGCAAGGGGGGGGGCTAGGGCTGACACTATTCACAGGAATAGTGTCTGCCCTTGCAAAAAGTAAATTCCACTTCCAGCAGTTGCCATGGCAAGGTGGGTACTATTCAATTTTTTGTTTTTTTCACAAATTTGTTTACCTAAACAATTAATTTGGACAATATATTCGGATGAGATTTTCTGATAAAATATTCAGATAAGATTTTTAGATAAGATTTTCAGTTTCAAATTTCAGATAAATTTTTTTTTTCAAATTTCAGATTTTCAAATTTAATGCTTTGGTTGTGGTTAGTTTTTTTTTATAAATTGAATGTTTTGAATAAAAAGGAATTTTATTTAATAGTTTCTTTGGTAACTCAAAGAAAACTAATACTACTAATACAATAAAATACATGACTTCCGCTATTATGATGGAACTTCTAGCTATTCGCCATGCGCTCAGTGAGTGTGCTAATTTTCATCTCACAGACATTATTGTAGAGTCGGATTCTCAAAAGGGTGTCTTAATGCTTAATGGTCGGGCTACAGTGGACTCAGACTTGGAGGGGATTGTCTTTGATATCAGGCAGTTGGTGGTTTCTCTTTCTCGAGTTTCCTTTGTGTTTGCTCCTCGGTCCTGTAACCAGGCTGCCCATTCTGTTGCGGGTTTTGCCTCTAAGCAGGGGGGTAATCATGTTTGGGATCATCTAGGAACTGATTGGCTTTTTAATTTTCTTACCTCTGATGTAAACCTTCACCTTCGTTATTAATATCATTCTCCAGCGTTTGACAAAAAAAAAAAATAATTTTTAAAACAAATCATTAAAATACAATGAAATGAAAAGGCAAGCAAACTAACTTAAGGGTTTTCATCATTTAACCAATCCGTATTGCTAGGTCCATCATCACGAAAAAGTTTTCGTCTCATAATAGCCTTTCGTTCTAGCTTCCAATATTGTTTTGTTTCAGGAGACATGTGGCTTGTATCCATGGCCATGGTTTCCCGATCCTTCCTTTCTTCATTTTCTTTGCGTCGATACTCCCTTTCTTTGCGTACATACTCCCCTTCTTTAGCAAATTCTATTGCCATTGCCCTATCATCTTCTTGGACTTTCTTGTCTATTTCAATTCTCAAGGCGCTTTGCCTTGCAATTTCCTCTAAAAATTTAGAGGTATTACTCGTAGAATTAACTCCTCTCTTTGCCTTTGCCGCCTTCCTCCCCATAGGCCTCGGCTCCTTTTGAATGGGTAAGTCTTCACTCATAGGGGATTCCATAGGCGAATCCGAAGCTTGTGAATCATGAAGTGGCGTCTCGTTTAACACCACCGTTGGAGCCGTTGGAATAATGCTAAATCTTTTACAATGCTTCACCACCTCCCAACATTGGGTATGGGTGAAACTTTTTTTCCCTAGTCCAGTAGCACCATAGAACATTTGAGCTTGCACAATCTATATAAAAAAAATTGAATAAGCAAGGAACTTAAAAAAAAATGGTAATGCAAAAAAGATAAACATATGAATGAAAATCCAAGAAATATTAACAACATATAAAGAATGCAAGAAACATTCAAATAAATATTAGAAATACAAGAAATATAAAAAAAAATATAAAAATTGCAAGAAACATTCAAATAAATATGGAAAACAAGAAATATTAAAAACATATAGAGAATGCAACAACCATTTATATAAATATTAGAAATACAAGAAATAAAAACAAAATATAAAGAATGCAAGAAACATTTAAATACATATGGAAATACAAGAAATATTAACAAAATATACCAATTGCAAGAAACATTAAAATTAAAATTAATAGGACATTAAAATTAATAAAATGAAAATTACAAGTAATTACCTCATCGCTTAGATTTTCCCCGCTTGCATGGTTATTCATCGCTTTTGTGAGGGCATCTCTCCATTTCCCCAACTCTTTGTTGAGAAGTTTCCACCGACTTGACAATGCGCTTTCCGTACGGGTGGAACCCGATCTTTCAACAAATTCGTGAAGAATTTTTTTCCACATTTGACTGAATTTCATCTCATTACCCGATATGGGATCATGACTAATTTGGATCCAACACTCACACAACAAGACATCTTCCATGACGCTCCATGCCCCTCCGGTTTCTTGAGAAAAAGCCATAATGATAGAGAAAAATTATACTTAAAAATGAAAACAATTTAGAGTAAAAAGTGAAGAAAATATTAAATAGAAAGTGAAAAATAGTTGGAGAAGGAGAAGATGTATGAGAATTTGTTGTTAAAACTGAAGAGTAGGTGTTGGTATTTATAAAAAAAAAGTCAATATTTTTTGGGATTTTTTTAAAATTTTTACGATTTTTTTTCATCATTTTTTGCCTGGAAAAATTCCAGGCCGTCGGATTGGCTGACAAGGCGAAATCGGAAGGACGAGAGGCTGCCACGTCGCACGTTACCGTTGGGCGCAAAAGCTGACGCGCGATTTTGAATTTTTTTTAACGTTGGCGCGTGCAATGCACGCTCCAATGGTAAAAAAAATTTACAACCGCGTGCTGACGTCACACTGGCATCAGCGATGACGTCAGCTCGCACTCGGGCTCTCGCTCGGGCTGCCTTTGTCTTTGGGCCAGCCCAGGCAAGTGGACCCCACACTGCCCGGGCCAGCACTTGTTGCTGGAAGCTGCTTTTGGGCTCTTTCCCCCCCCCAGCCCGAGCCCGAGTGGGCTGCTGGAAATGCCCTTATCTGAAGTTGATATGTTGGTTTGCTAACTTTTGCTGGCTTCATTCAATGTTTGTGATTCATTTTTTCCTACCAAACATTGGAATGGAAATAAAAGACTTCATAGTCATATCTCCAAACAATTCATTCCGCTAATCAAATGGGCCCTACTAATAAAGGTACTATTTTTTTAATGCTGGTAGATAAATTAAAAAACCCTTCTTCACGTTATTAGAATCGAAAAAAGTGAGAGTAATAGAAAATTAAGGACATGAGGAACTGTGATAAAATGTGTATTGGGGAGATTTTAAGTCAATAACTTTAAATGTTTTTCGATAAAAAGGAGTTAATAACTATATCTACCATTTTATAAATTCAATTATTCTCATTAAAGATTTTTTGATCCTGGGGTGGGTGGGAGACTGTTAGAAAATCAGATCAACTTGCAACTTGCTATTAGAAAAAAGGACAAAAAAGAAAAAAGAAAAATCAGATCTGCTTTCACACCCCTACGTCGCCACGTGTCACGATTCCGTTAAAGTTACAATCAGCTTCCTTGTAGTTGACGTTACCAGTAGCGCACCAGGTTTTCTCTTTTTCTCAACGCTTAACCACCGTTTCGTTTTTTCAATATTTTTTTTTAATTGAAACGTACCGTAACGCCGTTAAAAACCCATAAACAGCAAAGCAAATATAAAGAGATAAAAACCAAAATAAATAAATATTTTTATATTTTTATATTTTTTTTGGTGAAAATAAATAAATATATTTATATCAAAACACAAAAAACCACCAAAAAATTCAACCGACCGCCAGCCAGCCAGCCAGCCAATACTTTCCCCTCTCTCTCTCTCTCTCTCTGCCGTTCCTGATTGACTCCCCGAATTCTCTCTTCTCCGACGCGTTTTAGGGTTTGTTTCTTTCTAGAAATCTCCTCAGGGTTTCCTTTTTCAGTTAGGTCTGTCAGAATTCCCAGATTTCCGATTCCTATTTAGTTTTGTAATTTTGATCTTATTGGGAAAGTACTTTGCTTTTTATTTCCTTCCGTTATTAGGGTTTCGACTATTACCTCCCTTAAAATCTAGGGTTTTGGTTTTCGATTTCTGTACAATATCAATATCGGATCGTGTTATCTTTTAGTGGAATTCTAGGGTTTTCGAATCTTTGTTTGGGAGGATTTTTTTTTTTCAAGACTTTCTTTTTTCGGGGAATGCTGAGATGGTGAGTTCAGAGGGATTGAGTGCTCCGCTGCCGCCTCCTCAAGCGGCAACGAGGCAATACGGGGTGACAAAGCCAATATCGACAGCTGGGCCTACAGAAGCCGATATTCAAAGGACTTTAGAGTTAGAGAAGGTTTGTGCTATTGAATTTTGCTTTGGGAAGATTGATTAGTTTTTGTTGTTGATCTTCTGGTTATAAAATTTTGTTTCTGGGTTTATGTGTATGTGAAGTTTTTGGTTGATGCGGGGCTTTATGAGAGCAAAGAGGACGCTGACAAGAGAGAGGAGGTTCTTCAGCGAATTGGGCAGGTAATTGTTGATTGGTGTACACAAATTATATGCTAGTGAGACTTATCATACTCAAAAGCCAGTTTTAGTTTTAGTACTAGAGGTGGCAGTTTTATGTGTGCTATAGTATTGATCACCTATTATTAAGGCAATAGAATCATTAGGAATTTATGGTTTAGGTTAGTAATTATTTATCAGTAAAGATTAGCTGGCTAATTATTTCGTTGTGCAACTATGTTATTGGAGAATTTTCAAGCCTCTCTAGGTTGATTGTCAACTTTTGTTTGTTCTAACTATTGGTGTTATTGATTTTGATTAATATTAAACGTTTGTTCGTATTAATTTTTTCAATATGATTGATTGTGTAGATTAAGTGCCATTCGTAAATACAAATATGTCTAGTAGGGTCTTTAGGTCCAATGGGTTTGGATGTGTCATAAGATTACCTTTGTGTAATAATTTGTTTTGCCATTATGTGAAATGGAGTCATTGATAGTTCTGTCATCAAGTTAGTTGAAGTCCTTGATAGTTATTTTTGGACTTGCCTAAATTATGGGTTTGATTGGATTCTGGATTAAATGGTAACTATAAGACTAGGGATTTATATTTCAATTGGAAAGGAAGGAAAAATTCAGAAAGTGCAGGAGTCAGTGGCTTACTTAGAATATGAAATAGGTTTCTTTTGTTGTTGTTGAAGGTTTTCTTATTTCAATAGCTGAAAAATATTCTACAGTCTATTTAGAGGGAACCCCGTGGGCATGATATAATATTAGTATATGAAGTCAAAAGAGTAAAAGTTGCAGACAGTGTTACAGAGACATGAGTATCCAGTGGACATTACAATTCCTTTAGAAAACATGTGACTAATAAGTAAGAAAAGCCTACTCGTGATGCATGAACAGAATGTAGTCTGGGAGATGCAGCTATTTTTGTTACAGAAAACAAGCTGATCCTGTCTTTGGAATAAAGGTCATGCTTTTGTATTCGGTATGTGCATGACTAAAGTTGTTTTTCCTGGAGCTTGTTTAGGTGTCTTACATCTATGAGATATGGGCTTAAAGTGTATGTTAACTGCTGTTAACATTACATTTTTTTTATTTTCTATTTATATATGGCTTTTTATTTTGCTAAATGTAGACAATTGTATACATAAGTGAAAATCCTGAATTTTGTTTTAGCTCCTTTGCTGATTTCCATATCTTCAACTTTCTTATCCTATCTTCTGGTGGTTAGATTGTCAAGGATTGGGTGAAGCAACTTACTCGCTTGAGAGGATACACAGATCAAATGGTTGAGGATGCCAATGCTCTTATTTTTACATTTGGCTCCTATAGGCTTGGGGTAAGTATCCTTACTCTTGATTGGGCTTGCCAATTTTTCTTTTGTTTTTTGTTTTTTTGGTGTGGTCTGGATTGGTTTGAGAGAGAGGGAAATGGATTTCTTAGAAGCAATGGTACACGCTATTTAGTTTCAATGTGTCTCAAGTCATAGCTTCAGCGAATGTTTAGTAATTTGTTATTTTCCTTTGCCAATTTGATTGGTTATTTTTGTATTTTTTCAAATATACATGTGTTGGTTGCTCTTCTATATAGACAGTTAGTTTGCCATTACTTTTTCCTTAGGTGCATGGTCCTGGGGCTGACATAGACACATTATGTGTTGGGCCATCCTATGTCAATCGAGAGGTAAATATCGACTGCACACGCTTTCTTGTCGAGTTCAGAGTCTTACAATCATTTGTATCTATTTAATACTTTTATGTTATCTTCAGGAAGACTTCTTCTTTATATTGCACAACATTCTGGCTGAGATGGAAGAGGTGACCGAACTGCAACCAGTTCCAGACGCTCACGTTCCTGTAATGAAGTTCAAGTTTGATGGAATATCAATTGACCTTCTTTATGCAAGTATTTCTCTCTTGGTTGTACCAGAAGTAAGTACTGAACTCCTCCCTCTTGTTGACCAAACTTTCTTGACAAAAACCAAAATATTATGCAAGTAGTATGAAAGTGAAACTTTTTCCTAACCTTATTGTGCTATTTTATCTGGATGGGATGTTGATCGCTCTCCTCTCTCTATGTTTAGCTTCCTGTTTTTTGTTTGATAATTCGTGTGGGGTTGGCCACAGCTGGGATCTCATCCTTATGTAGTTTGTTGAATAAGATAATGCAGACTATTTTAAGTTCAATTACCAAATAAAAAATAAAAAAAATCTAATTGCGGTAGCAATCTAAAGGAATAAGTAGATAATATGATTGTTAAAGAACAGATCAACATCCAAAATCACTAAGGTCCAGAGATACAACCAGAATAGTTTACCATCAATGCTGCCACCGTCATCTTTCAAGATCTAATAACACCTCAAACAATTGATTAACTAAAAATGAAGAGGGAAGGAAAAGAAAGGAAATAGGAAGAGGAGGGAAAAAAGGGTTAAGGTTGAAGTTATATAATCTGGACTATATAAAGCTACTTATATAATCTGGAATATCTTAATTTTATTTCGTCACTGTGATTTATGTTTTCTAGAAAGCTTGTTTCTATTGGTTGTGATTCTTGTGAACCCTGGTCAGTCAGTTCTCATTACCTATTTCCTACAGTGTTTGCAGGAATATATGCTTGTTCATCAGAAGTTTTAGCTGCTTGTTTTTTTTTTTGCAAATTTTAATTTTGCGGAGATGTTAGGCATATGTGAAATTCAATTTGGTTGTTTCGTAGCCTCATCTTTGCATGTCATCTTTCTTGCCTAATTTCTATTGAGTGTTTTTTTTATTTTTTATTTTATACATTTTAATTTTTGCAACAGGACCTGGACATTTCTGATGTATCTCTGTTGTACGATGTTGATGAGCCTACTGTTCGAAGTCTTAATGGCTGCAGGGTTGCAGATCAAATTTTAAAACTTGTTCCAAATATTGAGGTGAAATTCTTCGTATGCATGTGTTTAGTTGGTCAGCCAATCACGTGGTTATTTTATTTTTTCCAAAAGATATTTATACTGCTGTATGTTGAACCTCCCTTATGGTACTTTCTTTTGTTGTAGCATTTCTGTACAACACTCAGATGTTTGAAGTTTTGGGCGAAGAGGCGTGGTGTTTATTCCAATGTGAGTACCTCACTCGAGATATTATGTTGAGTTATTTTATATACAAATTTATAAATAAACCCAATCCTAGACATGTATTTATAAAAAAACCCAAGCACTATTTAAATATAGAAACACACCCAAAATCAACTACAAAATAAACAATTGTATATTTTTTAGGTGTGGTTATAAATGGGTTTTAAGTGTGTAATGATGAATTTGGGTGTGTTTATAAAATGTTTTGGGTGTTGGGTTTTTTTATAATTTCAACCCTCATTTGGGTGTTTTAGTGAAACTCCCTATTTTATATTTAAGTTGATTGTTATACAATTTTTATATTCAGGTTACTGGATTTCTTGGGGGAGTGAACTGGGCTCTTCTTGTTGCCCGGGTGTGCCAGCTTTATCCCAATGCAGTTCCCAGCATGCTGGTTTCTAGATTTTTTAGAGTATATACACAATGGCGTTGGCCAAATCCTGTCATGTTATGTGCCATTGAGGAGGATGAACTTGGTTTTTCTGTCTGGGACCCGCGTAAAAATCCTCGTGACCGGACTCATCACATGCCAATTATAACCCCTGCTTACCCTTGTATGAACTCCAGCTACAATGTGTCACAAAGTACCCTGCGTGTTATGGTGGAGCAGTTTCGATACGGAAACAATATCTGTGAGGTAGTACTTGTTCTGTCAGAAGAGATGCTTTAGATTGTTGGTCACATTTGTTGGTCACATTTTCCGTTTCAATTTTTGAATCCAGGAAGTCGAACTGAATAAAGCTCGGTGGTGTGCTCTGTTTGAGCCATATTTGTTCTTTGAAAGCTACAAGAACTATCTCCAGGTTGATATAGTTGCTGCTGATGTTGATGACTTGCGTGCTTGGAAAGGCTGGGTCGAATCTCGGCTTAGGCAACTGACTCTAATGGTAGTGTCTATATCTTTTTTTGTTCTCTTTCAGAATTAGAAATCCGTAACATATTGGTTCCTCTGTTTATATTTGCAGATTGAAAGGGATACTTTAGGGATGTTACAATGCCATCCTTATCCCCATGAGTATGTTGATACGAACAAACAATGTGCCCACAGTGCGTTTTTTATGGGTTTGCAGAGGAAACAAGGGGAGAAGACTCAGGGTCAACAGTTCGATATACGAGGGACTGTTGATGAGTTCAGGCATTCCATTAATATGTATCTGTTTTGGAAACCGGGGATGGAAATTTATGTTTCTCATGTTCGTAGAAGGCAACTTCCTCCATACGTGTTTCCTGATGGTTGTAAACGACCTCGACCCTCTAGAATTATGGCCCAGCAGCAGGCTGATAAATTGCCTTATGATGATGGTGAAGTTAGTGTGACAGGATCTGGTGAGAGACACCTGAAGAGGAAGAAGGATCTTGATGGGGTGGATGTGAATCAAGTTATGCCACTAGAGAAACGGCAATCTCTTAGCCCACAACCCCGTGATTCAGTTTCTCCTGTAATTATTTCTGACAAGGCAAGCAGTGCATCTCCGGAGCAGTCAGATAAAGGTTTTAGTATGGAAGTGGTTGAGTCAAATAAAAGACCACTGTTGGGAGAAATGGAGCCTGAATATGCCTCAAATTCCAGTACTATTACAAATGTTACAAGCAAGGGCAGTTGTGATGATGCGGGATTTGGATCAGTGGCTGTTAGCAGTGAGGGGAATACTAGGAGTGTTGAGGGAAGCAGTGTTGGGAGTAACAACCAGGATATTTGCAGGGCGATGTATGCGAGGCAGACTCGGAATCTCTTTCAGATAATGGATGCGGAAATGGAAACCTGCAGCAAGATGGATCTCAAGAAGCATTAGAGGTTTTGGATTTAAGTTCCTTTACTTTGACTGAATTTTCTGGTGATTCATTTTCATCATATGGTCGTCTTCTTTTGCAACGTTTGCTCTGCTAGTTGGATGTTGTCTTAATTTCTTCATCTAACTCAGAGATTCTATGACCAAATGCACCAATGGGATAAAAGTAGCAACATCTGAGGTATCTTCGAACAATAATGCAAGTCCTGACAGGATCTGTGTTGGGTCCTCACTTGTGTTGCACGCGTTAAAACATTGGACATTTGGGAATACAAACCTATAATTAAACTTGTTTTCCGTTTTCTTTAACTTGCCTTATCTTGGAGGTTTTCTTTGCACTGACCAATCTACCTAATTTCTTTGTTTTTTCTCTTTCTTTTTTTTCACTTTTTACTCTGAAGCGAATGCTGCATTTGGGATGCTACTCAATTCCAACGAGGGAGTAAACTCTGAACAAAAAGCGGTGATAAGGATGTGTAGTGAATTTCTAAATAGAGAATTTTCTTGATTATTTTTATGTATTGTTTATCTTTATGCTTCTCCTTTTGCTGTGGTGGTTTGAATAGCAGGTTGAGTCTAACATCAACGGCCTGAGCAAGTTGGATCTTTGTATATTTGGCTGTGAAGTTATTACTCAAAATGAGAGAGGAAGAAAGCCAGCACAGCTCGGGTAAGTGTTCTTATTATCGCTGGCTTTCATTTCATTCTTTTTCAGGCTTGATCTATGCACCCTTGCCGATGAAGCCAAGAGATTTGAACTGAAGTCAATGGTTTTTGTACAATTTTCTTATTTTAGAACTTGTGAATTATACTGATCTGCGTAAGTTTTGAGCTTTGGATGCTCTTAAGAGTCTTAAGAGGATTTATTCAGATGCTCGCTAACTTGTGCAGATAGTAGTAGGTTTTTACTTTTCGTCATCTGGCGGTAGTGGCAAAGTGTCCTAGGTTCTCCAGGTCCAGGAAAAAAAACCAAAAAAATTGAGAAAGGTAAAAAAGTTAAATAGTGTCTTCTCTTTGTAAGGGTGGTGGGGGGAAATGTGTTGCATGCTCTGTAATGTGCTCAACGTACAATGGTTGTCGGATCTTGTTTGAGTTTGAGTGGGACCACTGTTGAGGGTGTGTCTATCTTCATTCGACCTTTGTACATTATATGCAATGTAATGAATATTCAACTTCCCTCTGCCTCTCTCTCTCTCTCTCTCTCTCTCTCTCTCTCATTAAGTTTATTTCATTGAGCAAATCTGGTTGTGATTGTGTTTATGCATATTTAAATCAGGGCAGTTGTGCACCTTTAAATCAGCTCAATGTGAAATTATTGGACTCTTGATCCACTTGTTCACCGCACACATCTCAGTTAAATCTATTGTTAACCGTTGGATTTGGATCTAATGAGCATTAAAGTCAAGGTTGGCTTGTGATAAGTAGGGTTATACTTTATGTGGGTCTCTGGCCAAAGAGGAGAAGAATCCCCAATTAGAAATGGAGTAGGCGGGTTTGCTCATTTATCTCCCTACAAATGCCAAACCAAGGTTTTGGTTAATTTACATTAGGGTTAATCGTTTTATTAGTTCTTGAATTTAGACTCGATTTGGAAATTGAGGATTCAAGGACTTGATTTGCATTTGAGTACCTCAATTTCCAAAATGGTTCCCGTGGTCCTTTAACTTTAGTTTTATTAGGACAAATGGTTTCGCCGTAAATTTTGGTAACTTTTTTGTTAAATGCAAGGGCAAAGTGATATTTTTGTATTAAAATTGATTAAAATATGAATAAAAAATTAAAATTAAACTCTCCCCCTCTATCCTGATTTCTACTTTCCCCAAACTTTTATTTTTGGTTTTAATATAAAAACTACAATCTTGCCTCTGTATTTAACAGAAAAAGTCAATAAAATTGACGGCATGACCATTTGTTCAAACAAAACTAAAGTTAAAGGACCATGGGAACTATTTTGGAAATTGAGGTACTCAAATGCAAATCGGGTCAAAGTTCAGGGACTAATAAAACGATCAATCCTTTACATTATTTCATTCCTTTCAAAAACGTGCAATTGAATTGAATTAATGTTTGCAATTGAATTGTTCGAGCGGTTGCCTGAAAAAAGTTATTTATAGTATAATTAACTCAATATGTAGCAAAATGAATTTGCTTTATCAGCTTTCTGTGCCAAAAAATAAAAGGGCTAAATATCTTTTTGGTCGTTGAGTTTTACACGAAAATTTAATTTGGTGACTGAGAAAAAAATTTAGCCAAGCAGGGTTATGTGAAGTGAGGCTATGTGAGGCTTGTGTCATGGCTAGGCATGCCTTGTCATATTCAAGACAAGTGAGGCTATTTCATATTCAAGGCAAGCTATTGAGTGAGAATCGTATTGTGATTTTGAATGGCAAGGAGACCTAATCAAGGTGATAGAGTACCAAAATATATTGGTAAGTTGTTAATTTCATTTTAATTTGGTTTGGCGTTTTGATTTTCCTTATACCTCACAATTGTGATTTCAACTAAAGATTTCCAACAATTAGTGAAACCATAATAGCACAATATACTCTAACTCGTTGAGTTAGAGGAAGAAGATTGAAGATGCTTCCTAACAAAACCCAAAAATAAAAAATAAAAAAAATATTGAAGATAACAAAATGTCTATAAAATGTAAACTTTGGAAAACACATTGACTAATTTGGCTAAATTTTTTACTCAGTTACCAAATTGAATTTTCATGTAAAACTCAGTGACCAAAAAAATATTTAACCCAAAATAAAAATTCCGCTTTTGCTGTAACTAGAAACTCCCATGTCTAATCACACGGACTAGGAAATGCCAAGTTTTCTCATTCCCATGTTTAGAACTTGTAGTATTGAAAATGGAAAGTTGTTGAGTAATCCAATAACACCATTTATTTTTTATTTGAATCTATTAATGAAATGTGGTATTTAAAAATAAGAATATGGATAAGTTAGTCCAAAAAAATGCATTAATGTTTTTCCAAGTAGGGCCAATGGTATGAAATTTCTTCATACATAGGAAGTTCATACCTATGAATCATGTATTACGTTCCTAAGAGTGCACTTTCCAAACATGAAAAGGTAATTTCATAGCCATTCTCAAACTTCTAAACCTTGAACAAAATGAGCCCATACTCCTTAGTTTATTATAAGTTGAGCATGTTTGCTCAACACTTTAACCCAAGGTATATGCTAAAATATGAAACCTAATATGAGAATATTTGTTTGAGGGAATTTTCTGCATATTCCTCTATTTGTAGGAGGTCATATTTATAATATGATGGAGCCTTAGTGGCCAAGTAAATATAAATTCTTATTTCTATTTACAACAGGAAATCAGGAATTAGAGTAAATCAAATACAATTATAATGTGAATCCTTGGTGTGTAAGAAAAGAAAGTTAATGGTCCACAAGTCATGCCAACACTCCCCCTCATGTTGATGCATAGATGTCGCTAATGCCCAACTGATCCAGTGAATTGTGAGACGCTATATTGAAAATTGTTTTTGTCAAAATATGTGACTAACAACAGTGATAAGGGTGAAAACAATGGTAGTCTTTATGATGAGTAACATAACCCACAAAAACACAACGAAGCGCACATAAATCAAGTTTGCTACGTTGATTTTTGTGGAGATGAACTAAGGTCACAAATCCAAAGATTCGGGGTGTGAGTACCAAAACAGAGGACATGGGCTTGTGTTGCACAAGCACTTGTAAGGCTATTTTAAAGTTCAATAGACATACGGTTGATAATGGGAATTGCAGTGACAATATCATCATCTTAGTGATGGTGAGGAACATGAGTGCTAATCAGAAATGCTCGGGCTGTTTTAAGAAGGTGTCGATTCTTTTGTTTAGCAACACCATTTTGTTATGGTGTCTAAGGACAATTCGTCTCATGGATAATTTCATGTTGTTGGAAGTAAGCCTGAAAGTCGTGATTGACAAATTCTCCACTATTGTCTAAGCGAAGAATCTGTATTTGAGCATTGAATTGAGTTGTCATATGTTTGTGGAAGAACTAAAAATGGAAGAACACTTCATTTTTATTATTCAGCAAATAAAGTCATGTCATCTGTGTATAATCATCTACGAATGCGACAAACCACCAAACGCCAGAAGGAGCAGTGATAGGTGAAGGTCCCCAAACATCAGAGTGAATTAACGTAAACGGAGTAGTACATTTGTTCGTACTCAACGGATATGGCACACAGTGACTCTTGGCCAAAATACAAGATCATATTTGAAGTCGTAGTCTTTGAAACCTGAGAATAAATCTGGTAAGATGCTTCAAATAACTAAAATACGGATGTCCCAATCGACAATGCCACAACCAGATTTGCTTTTATTTGTTATTAGAGGGATGCGTCACACTATTAGCCATGCTGGGACCGAAGTCATCTACACAATATAGCTCCCATCTCTTAGTATCACAACCAAGAATCTCCTTAGTGTGAATATCCTGAAGCAAAAAAAAACTCGGGTAAATGAGTACACAACAATTTAATTGTTCAGTAAGCTGACTAACGAACATCAATTTATTGGATAAAGATAGAAGAAGTAAAGTATTAGAGAATGAGAGAGGATAAGAGTACAACAGTAACAACCCCTGTCACAGGATAAGTAACTCTATTGGTGTTAGCAATACAAGTTTGTCTGGATCAAACTTCATATGATCAGTTGTATCGGAATCAATTATCCAGCTCTTGGAATGACTCATATCCGAAGTTTAGAATCCATAACCAATACCATTACTGGTTGTATCACGTTGTGTTCGATCTTTGAGAGTAGCTCACCATTCGGGGTAGCCATACAATTTAAATCAAGTCTCACGAGTGTGTCTCGGATCACCACAGTATATGCAATCTCGTCCATGTGTCAAGGTCGTTAGTCGAGAAGTCATAATCTGTGCAGTGAAATATGCATAGGATAAAGGTTTAGTAAGAATCCAAATCGGGATCTTAGCCTGAGTTGCAGTTGCAGTTGGATTTGAAGTCGGGATCTGGGTTTGAATTAGAGACAAATTCGAGGTCGAGGTTGTCATTGTAGTTGGGGTCGAGGTCGTCATAATAGTTGGGGGTTGAGGTCGTCAAAATAGGATCCTAATTCAGGATCAGGTTTGGGGTCATCAAAATAGGATCTTGATTCAGGATTGAATTCGGGGTCAAAGTCTGCATCTATAGGAGCTAAGCCACTGGGCACTCAACTCGGCTATGGTTGGTTGAGAATGAGAGAAAGAGTCGGTGATGCTATCTTCATGAGGGTTGAAAAAAATCATCAATCCCCATAACGGCAACAAGGGTTTGAAACTAGAGTCAGCAATTCCAAGATCGTTGTTCTGATACCATGCTAAAATATAAAACCTAATATGAGAATATTTGTTTGTGGGAATTTTATGTATATTCCTCTTCTTGTAGGAGGTCATATTTATAATACAACGGAGCCTTAGTGACCAAGTAAATAATAAATTCATATTTATATTTACAGTAGGAAATCAGGAATTAAAGTAAATCAAATACAATTATAATGGGAATCCTTGGTGTGTAAGGAAATAAAATCAATAGTCCACAAGTCACGCCAACAATATTTACGCACCACCTTCCTCAACACTTGACATATCTCCATAAGCATAATCATGGTTACATAAATCAAAGTAAAAAGTTAACTACGATTATATCTATGGACACGTGTCAAGTATTAAGAAAGATAATGAATATACACCTTGGGTTAAAATGTTGAGTAAAAATATTTCTATTATAACTTATAAGTCTGATTATCTTCCCAATCAAAATAAGAGTGTACGGCATCGGCCAAAAAGCACTCAGAAAAGAAAATGCGGATGAGTTTATGGTTAACTCTATTTATACCCTATAAATTCGTCAACACATCTATTTATTTCTTTAATAAAAAATTACTTATAAAGTAAACAATAATAAATTTTGTTCACTACATCACTCATGATCCTAGAAATAATCTCATCATTCCTACGTGGATTCTATCAAGATAAGATAAGAAAATTAATAGTTTTGTGGTCAAATGAAGCCATCCATTCCACACTAATGCAAGAAGTTGGAAACTCAAGTGATCTTATCAAATGTTTAATCCCCTTGTCAAAGACATTTTAATTGAAAATTCAAATCCAAATCCTTCATTAGAAACCTTTCCATCTAATTATTTAAATATTCATGTAAAAATAATCCTTAATTTGATAAAAAAAGAAACAAATCCTAAATCTTGACCAAAAAAGAAGAGACACCTGATCCTTAAATTTTTTTTTTGCTGTGGGATAAAATTGTAATTCTCGTTGGAAACAAATAGAGCTCCAAATCCAATCCAATTATTTGTTGTCTTTGGGGGTAATTATCACTGCAATTCCAATTGTGGCCCTACTCATATAAAAAGTCACCCCAAACCGTTTAAAACGTTCCTCCAATTCCCGTCACTTCCGAAAACCAGAAGAAACACACAGAATTTCATTCTCATTCCATTTTCCGCAATCTCCACAAACGACTCCAAACCCAATCAATCAAATCTACATACACAATGGGGAAGAAGGCGGTGGTGATTATTACCGCGGCGGCCGTGTGCGCCGCAGCCGCCGCTCTGGTGGTGCGCCACCACATGCGGAGCTCAGGCCGGTGGGCCCGGGCAACCGCCATCATCAAAGAGCTAGAGGAGAAGTGTGGGACCCCCATTGGGAAGCTGAGGCAGGTGGCTGACGCCATGGCTGTGGAGATGCACGCCGGCCTTGCCTCTGAAGGTGGCAGCAAGCTCAAGATGATCATTAGCTATGTCGACAATCTTCCTACCGGGTACGTATATATTCAATCAATCAACCCTTTTGCTCTCATAACGTGAATATTTATATTTTGGATCGACTTGTTCTTGGTCTTCGTCTATAAGGTGTCTCTTTTATTTGTTCCAGATGATCTCTTTTGGGTATAATTGACGTGGGTGCTTCTGTTGTTGTTTATATGGATGTGGGTGATTCAAAGTCCATTTCTTGATCCAATTATTATAGTTTATTTTGTTGTTGTGAATCTTCCATATTTTGGGTTAAGTTTTGTTTATTTATAGATGGACTGAAACTTTTGGTTGAATTCTCATACAATTGTCATCATATTCATAGGGCCAATCAGAATTTTCCAAATTGTATGGATTTATCCTTTTTTTTTATTTTTTTTTGGTGGCATGTTTATCCCTTCTTGATCAATCTTCTTATAGAATTTTGAGGAGTGAGTTGTACCTTGCGTATGTTTCATTGTCCTTGAAACAGTCGTGTCTATACAAACAGTCGTGTCATAAACAAAAATATGACTTATATTGAAATTTCTGCTGTCAGATGTTGAAATTTTTCCTAAATGTATGATTTTGTAGGTACTCTGTCCTATTATTGTTGTTAAACAAGCTGTTGAAAGAGGTTTAAACTGAATACCTCCTCATATATATATATACATTTTTTATTTATTATTATTTATTTTTTTGTGTTTCAGGACTGAAAAAGGGTTGTTTTATGCGTTGGATCTTGGAGGAACAAACTTCCGTGTGCTGAGGGTGCAATTGGGGGGGAAGGGTCGTGGAATTATTAGTCAAGAATTTACAGAGGTCTCAATTCCTGAACATCTTATGGTTGGGACTTCAGATGTAAGTAGTTTGTCACTAAGAATGCCATTGTAAATCAAGGTGCTTTATGCAAAACATTTCTCAAGTCTAAAGGATAATTGTGATTTCAGGCACTGTTTGACTACATTGCAGCAGAACTTGCAAAATTTGTTGCTAAAGAAGGTCAAGATTATCAACTCCCTCCTGGCAGGCAGAGAGAACTAGGTTTTACCTTCTCATTCCCTGTGCTGCAATCATCAATTAATTCTGGGACCCTTATTAAGTGGACGAAAGGCTTCTCTATAGATGATGCAGTTCAGTCCTCATTACTTTGGCTCCTTTAATATTCTCTGATAATTGTTTTCTACGTAGTTTAATGTTCTCTATATTCTCCTTTAATATTCTCTCTGATAATCAGCTCTTATGAAGTGTATAACTGTGCCCTGGAGTTTGCAATGCATTCGTCCATTTCTGTTTAATCCATTGTAATGATGGACTGAAATCCAAAAATATGCCTGAACATCATGGGGCACATGATTCTAGTGGTAGAGCACTTAGGGTCACACCAATGGCCAGAGTTTGACTTTTGCCCTCTCCTGGTCTATGCCTTATTTTGTTCCAAAAAATGTTGTTTGGATGACTGAGACTCCCAGTTATGAAATTCAATTAGATCCCTTTTCTGAAATTTAAGGTCTGCACCCTGGGTATATTTTTTCTCCGTTTTGAGTGAATATAGTTGTTGCTTTTGTTGTGTCATTACTGGATATCCACTAGGATTTATTTCTATCCGTATTCGCCTCTGACATGCACTTTCTGTACTTTAAAAAGAAAGAAAAATGAAAGATGGAAATGTGTTCAATTTTTTTTTCTTCTTCCAGGTAATGTGTCTAGAAATTGTTGCTTAAGAGTAGTTTCTTCTGATAATTACTCTCATCAGTTTTCAGAGAAGTTAAAAGCTCGCCTCATCTGTTCCTTTTAAATTTTAATGAGACACACTTCACTGCTCTTTTCTTGTGTTGAGATAGGTTGGATAGTTCCTTTGGTGCCTGTGAGCTACACTATAGCCAATAATTTCTATTTGGCATGATGTTATCATGCTTGCCCTTAGAAAAGCTTCCTACATATTCTGTATCTCTGTTGATAACGTTCATTGCTTCTGTTGAAACATTGACTTGGACAGAGGTGATGTTACGAAGATGATATCCATAGTCTTGTTTCAGCATCCTTAAACATTAACATCAGTCAAACACTTTTGATCTTAAGATGTATGGCTAGTCCCACCTCTCATCATCTTCAAGCTGAAATCCATCTTCTACATCTATTATTTCATTTTATTTCCTCCAGTTAAATGAAAGTTATTTCACTTAGCAGTGCTTGAGTTCTTAAGATAGAGAGTACAGTGAATCAGTAACTCATGAATGTGGTTGAGTTTCTGTAATATAGTGTCCTCATCAAAATGTTGAAGTTATCTTTTGGTTCTTAACAATTGTAGTCAGTGCCACTTCTGACTATCTTCAATTGCGCTTCATCATTTATAAACAATACACACGCCAAATACTGTATTCCATTTTCCCCTGTTGAATGAGCAGCCATTCCCCTCGGTGCTAAAAGTCAAAAGATAAGAGTTGATGTCTAGTATATTATATGGATTGGAAGCAGTAAGCATATCTGGTATTTGAATTATTGCCGGATGTCCAATAATAAACAGATTCTGAAATTGTGAAACTTGTTTGTTTACCCTTATTTCAACCTTTTGACTTTTAACTCTTGATGAATAGGTTGGCCAAGATGTTGTGGCTGAATTGAGTAAAGCCATTGAAAAACAAGGCCTTGATATGCGTGTGTCTGCTCTGGTAAGTTAAAGTTGGTCAGTTATTAGAACATTGAAAAAAATGACCTTCATGTTGATTCTGTTAGTACATAGTTTATTGGATTTGTGCTGTACCAGCATTTAAAATGCTTTTTCATATAAACTATTGTTTAAAATTAGGTGTTAATGGTCACTTTCTTACAACAGGTTAATGACACGGTTGGGACATTAGCTGGAGGTAGGTATGTCAATGGGGATGTTGTTGCTGCTGTGATTTTAGGTACTGGTACAAATGCAGCATATGTAGAACGTGCACATGCAATACCAAAATGGCATGGTCTTCTACCTAAATCTGGAGATATGGTTAGCAGTTCCTTCACGGCCATTGACTTGTGTCAATTTCATATTCAATACTATCTTTTGTTTGTACAACTATAAAAGCAATATGCAAATGCAAATTATAAAGCAAATAGTGAAGCAGCTTTCTATGGACTGTAGGTTATCAACATGGAGTGGGGCAGTTTTAAGTCAGCACACCTTCCATTAACAGAATATGATCACTCATTGGATACCGAAAGTTTAAACCCTGGTGATCAGGTGATTGTACTTACATACTTCTTAAGTTTGTTTTGCTTTGCTTTATTAACAAACTTGATAATACTCATATTTTAACGTCTTTCAATTGATTCTTTCAGATTTTTGAGAAGCTAATATCTGGAATGTACTTGGGAGAAATTGTTCGCAGAGTTCTTTGTAAGATTGCTGAAGAAGCTTCCCTTTTTGGTGACACTGTTCCACCAAAGTTAAAAGTCCCATTCATTTTGAGGTTTTTCCTTAGGCCCACTATGTTACTTTTGTTGTATATGTTTCTGTTTGGTGTATAGAGTTTCTCTTTTTCAGATTTAATTTTATTCACATTGTTTAGATTATTTGGAATGATGATAGCAGATTGGGATTTTGTTTTCACGAAGTAGTTAAATTGTGAGTTGTGAATCATGCAGGACACCTGACATGTCTGCAATGCATCATGACACATCCTCTGATCTTAAGGTGGTACGAGACATATTGAAGAATGTATTGGAGGTATATTTAACTTTCCACGTCATCTGCAGTTTCAGTAGTTGTCAAACCTTATTATTTGCTTTCATATCTCCGTGACTTCTCACTTGCATTGTTAGCAAAGTCATAACTGTCTTAAATAGACTTACGGCAATTATGTTATGGGGTGATATAGAGGTTGAATCTTGTGGACAATATTCTCTTATCTTCACATGAATGACTTTTAAATTTTGATTCCCAAACTAAATCAATAAGTTTTTGTAGATTTAAATCTTTGAAGTTTAATTCTGTTTCAGATATCAAATACTTCTCTTAAAGTAAGAAAATTTGTTGTGGAGCTCTGCAACATTGTTGCCACACGTGGGGCTCGCCTTGCTGCTGCTGGAATTGTAGGTGTTCTGAAAAAGGTGGGAAAAGACGCATTCAAGGATGGGGAAAAACAGAGGACAGTGGTAGCTTTGGATGGTGGATTGTACGAGCATTACAATGAATATAGTAAGTGCATGGAGAATACCCTAAGAGAATTGCTTGGAGAGGAAGTTTCCGAGAGTATCGTTATTGAGCACTCAAATGATGGTTCTGGCATTGGAGCTGCCCTTCTTGCTGCCTCTCACTCACAATACCTTGGAGTTGATGAATCCTGAGTTTTCTCAGAACGGTAGAGCTTTTTGCTGAAGAAAGTTTCACAGTTTTGGCATTTTAATCTTTCCCCTGTTCCAACTAGAACCTCTCCCATTTTGTCATCTTATTTCTGTGCCTCTTCTGCTCTGCCCATTTTCACCTTATGATTGTTTTTACTTTTTGGGGGAGAATTTTAGTTTGTGGCTTTGCAGAATCTGTAAGAGAGGTGGATTGTTGTATAAAAGCAGGACCTGTAAGCGGCCATGCTATGCTGCTTCGGCCTGCAAATTTCCGTTTTTTTTTACCTTGTGGTAATTCCCAATTCTTATGTTCAAAATAATAGAAGTATTGAAATGCTACTTTTAATCACAACACCAATTTTATTCTTATTATTTATTATTTTGTTTGTGGTCAGAAAATGTCAGTCAAGTAATGCCAATTCTGATTCATTTTCAGAGCCTCTCAAGCTCAATCCTAGGTTTGAAGACAAACTTTTTTCATTTTCTCCACTTTTTTGTAACTTTCATGCTTAATTTCTTTTGGTATGCTAAAGGAGAACTCTTTGTAATTTCGTTTGGGTACAAAACACATTAGAAAAAAAAATCTCAACAGAAGGAGAAAAAGGGATGAAATAGGACAAAATCACCAACAATGAATAATATTAGACAAAAAATCTTTAACACAAAAAATTGTTGGATCTAATAATGTTAATATCTTTTTTTTTGGTCGAAATAATGTTAATATCTATTCCAAGTACATGTCTCACGGATGTTTACCCTGATTCCCAATGACAAAAGTAGCAATCAGTTAGTAGGGAGAGCAACCTTCTTGAGGCATTGTTTACGGCAAATCATGAAGTCTATCGCGCGTCCATTTTTCTGCACCAGAAGTCACATAAAATGTAAAAAGAGAAATTAGACCCTGCAATTATCAGATTGAAAACCCATAAAAGAAACAAAAACAAAAACAAAATGCTTTAATTTAATATACAAACCAAAATCAGCAGCGGTATAGGGCATGGGATGCTTGCAGGGAAGTGTACACTTATCAAAATTTGTAGGCTTAGGATTAGGGCCACTGCACACAGAAGAACATCCTCTTAAACAGTCCACGTCGCTGTTCGAGCAAGTGTCCCTGCACAACATCAAACAGCCCTCATCGGAGGACTGGTAAGGAGGAGGACTTAGGTTTGGCAATGTTGGGGAGTCATGAGCAGGTGGAGGGGGTGAGTTTTGAAGGCCAGGGTCATAGGAAGGTGGCGGAGGGGGTGAGTTTTGAAAGACAGGGACATAGAACGGTGGCGGAGGGGGTGAGTTTTGAAAGGCAGGGACATAGAACGGTGGCGGAGGGGGGTGAGTTTTGAAAGACAGGGACATAGAACGGTGGCGGAGGGGGTGAGGTTTGAAGGCCAGGGTCATAGGACGGTGGTGGAGGGGGTGAGGTTTGAAGGCCAGGGTCATAAGACGGTGGTGGAGGGGGTGAGTTTTGAAGGCCAGAGTCATAGGAAGGTGGTGGAGGGGGTGAGTTTTGAAGGCCAAGGTCATAGGAAGGTGGTGGGGGTGAGTTTTGAAGGGTAGGGCCAAAGGGAGGTGGTGGAGGGGGTGAGTTTTGAAGACCAAGGTCATAGGGAGGTGGAGGGGGGTGAGTTTTGAAGGGTAAGGCCAAAGGGAGGGGGAGGGGGTGAGTTTTGAAGGGTAGGGCCAAAGGGAGGGGGAGGGGGTGAGTTTTGAAGGGTAGGGCCAAAGGGAGGTGGTGGAGGGGGTGAGTTTTTAAGGCCAAGGGCATAGGGAGGTGGAGGGGGTGAGGTTTCAAGGCCAAGAGCATAAGGAGGTGGAGGGGGTGAGTTTTGAAGGGTAGGGCCAAAGGGAGATGGAGGGGGAGAGCTTTCTAGGGTAGGCTCAAAGGAAGGTGGAGGGGGAGAGTTTTCTAGGGTAAGGTCAAAGGGAGGTGGAGGGGGTGAGTTTTCTGGGGTAGGGTCTAAATATCGACCCATGGCAACCCCAACCATCATCAACAACACCACAACTCTCATTAAACTACTTGCTTCAATTTCCATACCTCTACTCTCTCTCTCTCTCTCTCTTCCCCCTCCCCTCTCTCTCTCTAGATCTCTCACAGGATTGGAACTTGGAAGCCCTCCTCCTGTCAATGGTACTTGTCATTCTTGATGAGATTTCTGTGTGCAGAGCATATGTGCTGCTTGTCCTAATTTTGAGCACAAGTTTATAATTTTGTTGAATTCGTTGACTTGTTGATTTGATTCATTTGTTGTTATTATATAACTCTAATTAAATTTAAATGCAGTGATTCTTATTAAATGTTGAATTTGTTACCATAATTGGTTGATTAGAATCAATTCTCCTTCTGGAATTCAAGGGACTCTCAATTGGTTAAGTACACACATCAATACGTAAAATCTGTACCTTCCAGAACTACTTAATCAAGGGATTAATGCTGTAGAATGACATGTTATAACCAATTGTAAGAGGCCTGTGTTTGGATGAGGGATTTGGGGCTAAAAAGTAAATTTATTACAAACTCATCTTCCTAAAATGCTTTGTTTGGGAATCAAAGATGACAATTTCTTGTTGGATTTGAAAATAAGAGATTTTAGAGTCTAAAGTTCAATTTTTAATTAATATATTTTATTTAAAAAATTCCAATACAATGGATTTAGTTCAACCCATATGTTGTGGGTTAAGTTGGGTGTGAAAACTCGAATTCGGGACATTGAACTGGAGATCCTGAATCAGAACTCAGGACTCAGACCCTGGATCCATAGCCCGGACTTAGGTTAAGTTGCCGATTGACCAATTTTGGTGGTAGATCCTGCATCTTACCACTCTTTTCAATTTGAAAAGATTAGTTATCCAAATTAAGGGCAAATCTATTTGGTCATATGGTCTAATTCTTGTAACTTTTTTCAAGAATATATTGTGGGAAAAGTTGGACAAAAGGAGTGCATTCGTAAGGATAAGTACACGAAAGGAAGTGCTGAAATATCTCAACAAAGAGAGAATTCTTATTCAATTCAATACTGTTCATGAGCAGTAATATCTAATACAATTATTCAATCCATTAATAATATTTTCTCTTATATGGAGATGAAAATTATAAAAATATCTAATTATTGATCTTCATTCTTGAGCTGCACCTCTTATAGCAGAAATCCAATTGGCCCTTGAAGTTATTTTCAGCAACTGTCACATAAAAATGGAAAAATAAAACACTGCAATTAGATAAACAATCCAAAACCATAAAAAAAGATAAAACCCAACAAGAAAAAAGACTAAAGATATATACATACCAATAGCAGGGGTAGGATATGTGGGTATGGCTTTTACGCAGGCAATTATACACTTTTTGAGAGACATTGTAGCTTCAATCTTGCATTCGGCAGGGCAGGCCTCAAAGCAAGCTTTTCTAACTACCAACTTGTCATTGTCGTTGCATTTTCTGTGGCATTTTCTCAGACATGGGTTGCGTTTTGGAGGAACATGATGAGAAGTGGGAGGAGGTGATTTTGGGACAACAGGGATTCTGATCATAGGTGGTGATACGGTTTCAAAAGGTGGGATTACAGGTCTAGGGTTTTGATGAGGAGGTGGAATTTTATCGACATGAGGAGAGTTTTCAAAAGGTGTGACATCATCAGCAAGCGAATAATAATCAACAAAGTTAGGGTCAACAGATTGGCCCATAGCAACGCAAACCATCATGAACATCATAACCACAACTGCTAAATTACTTCCCTTCATGTCCATAGCTACTAGCTCAAATTAATCTCACAGAGTCTCTCTTTCTCACCCAAATCTACTTGAAACTGTGTGTGGTTGATTTGGTTCTGCACACATTGCCCCTATTTATAGGATTGGACATATTGCATGAGATTGAGCCCACAAATTTACACTAAGGATAGTCCATAAATTTCGATGTCTAGCTGATTTTGATGATCTCAATTTTCTTGATTGATTATTAATTTGAGTTACTATTAATTTACTAATGTTGATGATGAGGTCGATTTCCAAATGAGGGACTGAGAATGAAGTGCTCATCTAATCGAATTTCCAAGGGTGGTGTGTTTGTAAATAGGAATAACTTGCTTTGATTAAGGAATTTTCTGTCATTAATTAAGGAATTAATTTCCTTTAGTTAGCTGTAGGGATTGCTATACAATTAACTAATTACAGGTGCATATAGTTGGTACAAACTAGAGGTGTAAAACGAGTCAGATCAGGCCGGCTCATTATGTTTTTTAGGCTGTATTGTGTTGGCCCATGTAATTAAGCGGGATGTGCTGGGCCAATTCATTTATTAAAATATTATACCTAACTCGGCTCAAAGTTCAAGTCCATTTCGTGGCGGCCGGTGCTCAGATCGGGCCCGTACTTGGCCCATGTAACTTGAATAATTTGTTTTGTTAGCATATTAAATTAATGAAAAAAAATCCATTGTAAACAACTCATATCCATTAATAAACTACATTACGGTATCTTATTCTGGAACACCGACAAAATAATGAGAAACTACAACACAGACAATAATTCTTCTACTACACAGACAAAATAATGAGAAACTGCAGATCTGTGCATGTTTACCAGTATTAGCAACATTCATTTCATATATATTGGTATTTGGTATATAGAAAATAAAAATAATGAAAGAAGACATGCAAGAACTACCTAGATCTTGGAAATACACACAACACAGAGAAAATGCTGAACATGAAAACAAGAACCAGCTAAAGCATAGACAGAAACCATTAGAAATACTAAGGAAAATTGAAACCAGTCCACTTCATTAATAAATTCAAAAATTACAATTTATAGGTATGAAAACAAAAAGGTTGAGATATTGCATCACTATAGATTGAGTAAATCCGAACTAGGTTGGCACCTACTCAACTATCAATCACTTGCTTTACTCAAACCCAACAATAACCACAATATTAATGGAATCTACTAGATGTTTTTAGATAGGGAACTTGTGCCATCATCTTCAAAATAAGGGAGATCTTCATCTACAAAATTTTGAGCTTGAAAATCTGCATATTCTCAATCTTTAACACACATAAGGACCACCAATATTTGAGGAGTTAGCCTCGTTCTCTTTTCACCTAACAGATGACCACCTGCACTAAAAGCAGACTCAGAAGCTACTGTAGACACCGGAGGTGTTAGTGCAGCACGTGTCATAATAGAAAGCACATGAAAGTTCTTTTCATGTGCTTTCCACCAATCCAAAAGATTGAATTTTTTTGTTTTTTCCTCAGTCATAAATTCAGCAAATTTGGTATCTAAGTATTTAAAAACTTAAGTACGAGAACATTTTCCACTCTTTTGTTTTCCTTTGGTAGCAAGCATACCAAAAACATATGCACTACTAGATGAAGAAGAGTCAAATAAAGGAACACGTGGAGCTGTTTGTGTATCTTTTGTACCAACATTATATTTCTTTTCATACAATACATAAGTATCATTGAAAGTATTCTGAATATTAGATATTGTAAGCGGTAAACAGATGGATAAATTCCTAGATATTTAAGTCAATATTACCTCCAAATCACTTACTTTAATTCTAGGATCAGATATTGCACCAAAACATAAAGTGTAAGGAACCTATGTCCAATACTTTTTATATTTAGCTTCCATTTCCTCACAAATCTTTTTAAAATTACAATTTGGATGAGATCTATATTTAGCAAAGGTAGCATTGATATAAAACAAATCATTAAGTGCAATAGGAGATGTTGGGTAATAAACACCAAAAAAATTACATGTAGCGTCATAAAACATGAACTTTGAAAAAGTCCAACGAAGTAAAGCAAACATTTCACTCTTCGTCCCTCAACAGACTGTCATTCATTTTGTTGTTGTAATAAAAAAATGATGACGTTGTTGTAACCTTTACACAATCTAAGCGTGTGATAAGTTGGGTTTCAACGAATAAGCATGTCTTTTTTCAATTTTATAGGTTTCAAGCCATGATTCTTATGAAGTTGAGCAAAGTCTTGCTGCCTAGAACCAGTAGATCTTGCATCTTACCACTCTTTTCAATTTGAAAAGATTAGTTAAATAAATTAAGGGCTAATTTATTTGGTAATATGGTCTAATTATTGTAACTTTTTTCAAGAATATATTGTGGGAAAAGTTGGACAAAAGGAGATGATGGATTAGGAAGTCTTTGCCACACTAGTGCATTCAGAAGGATAAGTAAACAAAAAAGGAAGTGCTGAAATGTCTCAAAAAGAGAATTCTTATTCAATTCAATACCGTTCAATGAGTAGTAATATCTAATACAATTATTCAATCCATTAATAATATTTTCTCTTATGGAGATGAAAATTATATCTAATTATTGATCTTCATTCTTGAGCTGCACCTCTTATAGCAGAAATCCAATTGGCCCTTGAAGTTATTTTCAGTAACTGTCACATAAAAATGGAAAAATAAAACACTGCAATTAGATAAACAATCCAAAACCATAAAAAAAGATAAAAAAAAAGACTAAAGATATATACATACCAATAGCAGGGGTAGGATATGTGGGTATGGCTTTTACGCAGGCAATTATACACTTTTTGAGAGACATTGTAGCTTCAAACTTGCATTCGGCAGGGCAGGCCTCAAAGCAAGCTTTTCTAACTACCAACTTGTCATTGTCGTTGCATTTTCTGTGGCATTTTCTCAGACATGGGTTGTGTTTTGGAGGAACATGATGAGAAGTGGGAGGAGGTGATTTTGGGACAGCAGGGATTCTGATCATAGGTGGTGATACGGTTTCAAAAGGTGGGATTACAGGTCTAGGGTTTTGATGAGGAGGTGGAATTTTATCGACATGAGGAGAGTTTTCGAAAGGTGTGACATCATCGGCAAGCGAATAATAATCAACAAAGTTAGGGTCAACAGATTGGCCCATAGCAACGCAAACCATCATGAACATCATAACCACAACTGCTAAATTACTTCCCTCCATGTCCATGGCTACTAGCTCAAATTAATCTCACAGCGTCTCTCTTTCTCACCCAAATCTACTTGAAACTGTGTGTGGTTGATTTGGTTCTGCACACATTGCCCCTATTTATAGGTTTGGACATATTGCGTGAGAGTGAGCCCACAAATTTACACTAAGGATAGTCCATAAATTTCGATGTCTAGCGGATTTTGATGATCTCAATTTTCTTGATTGATTATTAATTTGAGTTACTATTAATTTACTAATGTTGATGATGAGGTCGATTTCCAAATGAGGGACTGAGAATGATATGCTCATCTAATTGAATTTCCAAAGGGTGGTGTGTTTGTAATTAGGAATAACTCTCTTTGATTAAGGAATTTTCTGTCATTAATTAAGGAATTAATTTCCTTTAGTTAGCTGTAGGGATTGCTATACAATTAACTAATTACCGGTGCATATAGTTGGTAAGGAATAGAGGTATAAAACAAGTCAAATTGGACTGGCTCATTATGTTTTTTAGGCTGTATTGTGTTGGCCCATGTAATTAAGCGGGATGTGCTGGGCCAACTCATTTATTAAAATATTATACCTAACTCGGCTCAAAGTTCAAGTCCATTTTGTGGCGGGCCGTACTCGGGTCGGGCCCGTACTTGGCCCATGTAACTTGAATAATTTGTTTTGTTAGCATATTAAATTAATGAAAAAAAATCCATTGTAAACAGCTCATATCCATTAATAAACTACATTGCAGTCTCTTATTCTGGAACATAGACAAAATAATGAGAAACTGCAGATCTGTGCATGTTTACCTGTATTAGCAACATTCATTTCATATACATTGGTATTTGGTATATAGAAAATAAAAATAATGAAAGAAGACATGCAAGAACTACCTAGATCTTGGAAATACACACAACACAGGGAAAATGTTGAACATGAAAACAAGAACCAGCTAAAGCATAGACAGAAACCATTAGAAATACTACGGAAAACTGAAACCAGTCCACTTGATTAATAAATTCAAAGATACAATTTATAGGTATGAAAGCAAAAAGGTTGAGATATTGCATCACTATAGATTGAGTAAATCTGAACTAGGTTGGCACCTACTCAACTATCAATCACTTGCATTACTCAAACCCAACAATAACCACAATTAGAAGTATGCACGGAATCTACTAGATGTTTTCATTAGATAGGGAACCTATGCCACCATCTTCAAAATAAGGGAGATCTTCATCTACAAAATTTTGAGCATGAAATTTGCATATTCCTAATCTTTAACACACATAAGGACCACCAATATTTGAGGAGTTAGCCTCGTCCTCTTTTCACCTAACACATGACCACCTGCATTAAAAGCAGACTCAGAAGCTACTGTGGACACCGAAAGTGTTAATGCAGCATGTGTCATAATAGAAAGCACATGAAAGTTCTTTTCATTTGCTTTCCACCAATCTAAAAGATTGAAATTTTTTGTTTTTTCCTCAGTTATAAATTCAGCAAATTTAGTATCTAAGTATTTAAAAACTTCAGTACGAGAACATTTTCCACTCTTTTGATTTCCTTTGGTACACCAAGCTTACCAAAAACATATGCACTATTAGATGAAGAAGAGTCAAATAAAGGAACACGTGGAGCTGTTTGTGTATCTTTTGTACCAACATTATATTTCTTCTCATACAATATATAAGTATCATTGAAAGTATTCTGAATATTAGATATTGTAAGTGGTAAACAGATGGATAAATTCCTAGATATTTCAGTCAATATTACCTGCGAATCACTTACTTTAATTCTAGGATCA